GACAACGTCCTCCTTGCGGAGATCCGCCGGCGTGAAGGGCTACCACCGCTGCAGCTTCCACCACCGTCCGCCTGGCCACTGCATCTCAAAGAGACGACGCCCCTCGACGCGGAAGCGCTTTTCCGCATGCCCACCGCCCACTCCTGGACTCGCAGTTTTTTGTCGGAGTCGTTCCGTTACATGCGACCCGAAACATTTCAGTTCCTGCGCACGTCGCGCACGGTGAAAACTGTCAAACTGTCGCAGACGGATTTGGAGGCGGCTGTGGCCCGCGGCAAGTTTGAGCGCTGCAGCGAGAATGTGCGCCACCCGCTCCCAGATGGGGTGCACGGTGTGAACTTGTTCACCGTGTACGAGGCGAAGGGCCGCCGCCGCTTGATAACGGAGTCGCACCTCAACGGAGTCATCCGGAAGAGTGAACTCCCCTCCATCACCCGCCTATCGCGTCTGGAGCGCCGCCAACGTCTCCGCTTCGCCCGATACATGTTCCAGCTCGACTTCGAGGCGTTCTACGACGCTATCCCTCTGCCAGAGGAGATCAGGGACAAGTTCGTTTTTCGCGCGCGAGATGGTGGCATGTATCGCCTGAAGACGCTCCCGACTGGTGCGAGGTGGAGCGTCGCAGTAGGCCAGGCAGTTACGTGGACCATCGTCGACATAGACACTCCCGTGTTTATTGAAACGATGATCGACAACATCTTGGTGGCCGCGGCGGAGGGTCAGGAAGCGGCATTTGTGTCGGCGGTGCGCCAGATTGTTGGCCGGATACGGCAAGCCAACCTCCTCACCTCCCCTGAGCGGGAGACTGTGGCTTCGTGGACGGATGAAGAGCTGTTGTGCGAAGGAAGAAAAGGTTGTGTGTTTTGGGGTGAAGAGTTTGCCTGGATGGAGGGGCAGCGGCAGGTTCGCAATTCGATCAAGACGGTGACCAAGCTGGATTTAGCGGCGCAAAAAGACCAGTTCACCATTCGATCCTTCGCGTCGTTGGTGTCACTTATTAGTTACGCA